GACAGTATGCACACCTATTAACCTTCAACCCCTAGTTGTAAGAGCTGTGTACTGGCATTTATAGCATCATGCGAAGAAAAGGGGGAGGAAGGACAGTGCCCAATTTGCCGGCATGGGCCTGTAAAGGTTGGTTTGTGACGTATAATCTACCGATTTATTCATTAAAGCCAACTCCTAGGAATCCGACTTACTGGAAGTAGTGAGGCGAAAGCCCACAAAACGCCACGATTCTTTACAACCGGACGACCTAAACGATGATCGAGATTCATCTCCGGCGGTTATGCTACGGAGAAATACTTTCAATTCGTCCACGAAGCTGAATGCTCTATCCGAGAACTTGCGTGAGTGATCTCTATGCTTTGGTCATTTGGCGTTCTCAGATTTACTACCAAGGTCGTTTACGAGATCAAGATCCATGCTTTAGAGCTGTGGTTTTTTCGCAATTCACGAGCTTTCTAGATCTCATCGAAGTGGTACTACGACGAGATAACTTTGCATTCTACCGCTTCGATGGCGAAATGAGTGTCAAGAACAAGGCCGCTGCAGTGGAAGAGTTCATCAAGCCGTCGCGGAGTGGCAAGGTGTTCATCGTTAGCTTGAAGGCTGGAGGTGTTGGCTTAAATGTACGGCTATACTACTTCGATGCACGGGTCACATTTTAATTCTATTTATTGATAGTTGACCGCTGCGGATCATGTTTATATGGTATGTCATTAGTGTTCAGTTATCTACATAGGTAGACTTTTTCTAATTAATTAAAGATGGATTGCTGGTGGAATGCAGCGATCGAAAACCAAGGTCGGTGCTGTAAATATATTACACTATCCATTACTGAATATGACTGCTGCTGACAGCGATCGACCGCGTGCATCGTATTGGTCAAGAACGAACAGTTTATGTTAAACAGTTTATTGTAAGGATCACTGATGATTCATGCTACCGAGGTTGCGATTGATAGTTATCGATACCACCAGATATCTCATACTATCGAAGATCGAATACTACAGATACAAAAGCGGAAGACGGCGATCATCAAAGGTGCGTTAGGTGGTAAGAGTGGGGAGGACGCGGATAGCATGGAGAATTTGAAGATCATGTTTGGAGAAGATATTTGATCTGACACTGTTCTCAATAATATGACGAGTCCCTCAATTAGGAATTCGAACATGTGGTTCACAGGGAACTGCAGCAGGGAAGAATAAGCATGATTTTGATGCCGTTATAAAGTTATCCGACTGATATCCAGGTATAAGTGAACATATCCAATCAGGTATGTTTGAGGGAAGTATTATTATGGTGGACTCTTTGCGCGAGACAATGCATAGGTTGTAATATGTGGCATTGCTGTAGCCGCTACTTCTTGATATAAGAATTCTTGTTGAAAAATCTGAGTGCTGTATTTGATGGTCCACACTGTCTTTATTGATACGAGAACAAGCTAGTTGATAGACACAGCTCTAGCTCAGAGTCAACTTTGATTGCGCCCTGTGGGAGATCTCCTGTACTTGTTCTTAATGATACAGCGGCATTGGAGACATGCGTTTCATGAGACGTCTTAGTTAGAGTTTTGATTTTGTGGTGTGCTTCATGCGAATCATGATCTTAGGTGCATTGGCTTGATTGGTTGTAGTGGCCATGGTCTGGAAGTCATCTTTTGCGACGTGAGGTCTGTTTTCTGTTCCTTAAAGCTCATCAACTCATAATCTAAGGGTACCATACTCACTTGTTTTTGAAGGTGTCTGGCAATTTTGCTATCAATACTTTAAATTTCAACCCTCAACACAGGAGTCGAAACATTAGCTTGTGATGTTCCTATGCGAGATTCCTCCTTCATTTGTGACAGCCTTTTGGGGGGAGTTCATTCATGAAATAGTCAAGTTGTAAACAACACCAAAAACTGATAGTGACAAGACATCGTAACATTCCTTTGCCCGCCCCTAACAGCCAGACCGGGATTAAACCTGCAGTCCTCCCCTTTGTCTATTCCCCCTAAACTCGAAGTATAAATGTTTCACATCTGGGTAGAAGAGAGCATATAATGGTTTCTCCCGACCGCCGCGACATTCGTTCACTTTTCGACACCTCTTACTCGCCCACTGTAATCCTGCTTGACTCTCTAAATACGGCAAAAGCCAAAGCCAGGTCTGCCACGTTGAGGGCGTTCTTCAAGTTAACGGGTATTGGGGGACCAATAACACCTTTGAACGAGGGGGGCGAAGAGATTATCGATAAGTTCGGACCGTATTGCATCCGAACGGACTGAAGCTTAATACACTGTTTAATAATTCCGAACATAAAATGTATAAAATATCACAACTAAATTATTCCCGAAGTGGATGAGGTACTAGGGTCCTTCACGACTTGAGGAACTATGGGGTTCTGGGTTGCCATCGATTGTACTGCTAGTGGGTTGCTTTAAAGATCATTAATGTTTCAGACCATATTCACCTTATCTGTTCGCAGAAAAGCTTAAACACTGACTCATTTGTGGGTCAGCATACAATACTTGTCAAGTCTTGCCATTACTTCACCGTGGGCATTGGCAGCAACTAAATACTGTCACTGTGAGGTCATAGAGAGTCTTTGAATACTCAACCAGGTTACAAACGAAAATCATCAGGATAGCTAAAAGTTTATAGACGCACTCGCGTGTGGGGTCTTTATGTATGGTACCGCAGACTCAGACTCAGACTTGGTGAATACGAACGGTGAAATGAGCTAAGCATTCGATTTACACGCCGGCTTCTTCGAGTATCTCCTCGGCCGCCACGAACTCTTCTTTGTTATTCAACGTAGGCCTTGAAGCAACCTTGATTCCACAGATGAGACTCGTACTCGTACGGTAGGCATCGCGAAGAAGACTCACAACAAGTTCTCGCAAGTCAACGACCGCGTCACCGAGGCGTTTCTGCACATCTGGTACCATTTTTTGAGACTCAGCAAGGATATTTTTCTGTAAAAAAGTGGAAATTATGTAACACATGTAATGCAAGTGATCAGCAGTACTTGCCTGGTTTTTGATGTCATACTCGTCCTTTCCATCGGCAATGTATTGATCTACTCGTCGCTGTTGTGCCTCCATTTCTTGGTTGTAGAGCTTGTGCTCCTTCAAGAGTCTGTTTTCCCCAGAAATAGGACATGAATGTTTGATGGGTCTCAGTTTTGGCGGTGATAATAACCAGAACGTACCGCTTGACAGAACCCGTCTTGATCTTCAACTGTTTACAAACTGCAGCAGAATTGTCACTCATAACTGGAATTAGGATAGCTGTAGGATTAATCGAAGATAACTGTTGCTGAGAAACTCTCAAGAGTTTGCAATTGATTTGTGTGGTGTGTCCTATTCAGGAAGTATCGTCTCAACGGTGACACGGTTGAGGTGTCACGGTAGAATCCATGTAGGAGTTACATATGCGTTACATATGCATATGATAATAATACCCATCCAAACGCAATCGAGGAAAAAAGAAACGGTAGATCATTTGAGGATTCACCGGAAATTCCGCCCACACTTCCCGGCGCAACTTGTCAAAGATAGAAATACAAGAATGTCATTCAAATACATGAATAAGACACAAAGTAACATAGCACTCGTCGGTGAGATGGCCGAGTTGGTCTAAGGCGTGAGACTAAGGTGTGCGTAAAGCACTTACATAATCTCATCTCTTCGGGGGCGTGGGTTCAAATCCCACTCTCATCATACTTTTTTATTCTTTTAATTTACGTTCAACATATGTTGCCTAACCGCCAAGTCAGTAGTGGTTCTTGCATTCATTCAGAATGCCCCTTCAGGAGTGTGGAGACAAAACACAGGCCCACCCCTACTTTAGTTGGTTGGAATGAGGAGAAAAGAGATGGTTTCCATAGATATACATACCAATGGTTTGACCGTGAGCTTTGAGTCTCAAACAATTTGAATTATGCTATGCGCGAACCTAGACAATTCTTTAAGACTCTCTTCCTCCTGGCGTGCAGGTATTCTAATTTTTCTCTAATAGTGATGGACTTCAGGCTGACTTGCTAGTTGGCCTGAGGATATTGAAGTGAACATGAAATGATTGATCCTTAAGTATAGGATTGCATGATAACACAATGACATGATGATAGCGGTTGAACCTTGGAGTTTGTGACTGCGGAATTCCGTTCTCCACTGAGGTTTTAACCATCTGCATCAGGAACCGAAAATATTTTGCTATTTCCTAACCCGTCAACGTGTTATCATGCAATCCTGTATTTAAGAATAAATCATTATTTTTATCCATAATTATTGAGAAATCAAATTCTGTGGTATGAGTTCCCGAGTTTACCACTCATATCGTGCTGGTCGTGATGGAGATGGAGGTCTGTCATGTCCCCAAAACGGCGCGCATGAGCAGTGAGGCATAAAAAGGGGACAAACTACTACCTGGAAACTAAAATCTTCCCTAGAGCTGACTGGAAAATCTAGCGTGTCGCAGTGCACACGGGACCAATTGCTTTGATGTTTGTGTTATTGTTTTTTTTATATGTATCTTGTATGCTGTACAACATCATGGCTTGCTGTGATTTAATATTTCTATGAAGATCGCAGCACTCACCTCCATCTGCCTTTGTAGGGTGCGTAATGAACCACGCTGTACCCTTATATTGTTCTGCTGACGTCGATTAACTTCAAGAAATCACATTTGGATAAGAAGGTCAGAGACTCCGTACTCTCTTACAATACCAATGTTTTGTCCACTCGTGTGGCAACTTATAGTCTCTCAGGACATTAACGTTAGCATTTAGATGACCATCTCCGTCGTGTTCAATATGTATCTAGTCTGTGATTTAATAGGCTGAATGTGCTGTTCCACTTTCAACGGCAAGGGGAATAGAAAAAAAAATGGTGATGTTCAATGAATGTCCAAACATATCCATTGGGGATACCAAGGCGGGCATCCAGCTCATAAATAACTTGTTCAGATTAACTTCCGGTGATAGAACCACCTTCTAGCTTACTAGACACCACAGCATTCATCGGTGAGATGGCCGAGTTGGTCTAAGGCGTGAGACTAAGGCGAGCACAATGTGCTTAAGTAATCTCATCTCTTCGGGGGCGTGGGTTCAAATCCCACTCTCATCAGATTTTTCCATGCTTTATTTTATCCTTTTAGTCGTATATTGATCACCAAAAATGACAGAGTAAGTAACTCGCTCCTTTGCGCAGACCCCTTGATAATAATATGCGGGCTCTTGCCTCACATCCATGAATTTCCTTTAAACTTGCCCAGCAAGCAAAACTTTTTTTCTCATTTAACTTCTACCTCCTTTCTCGCAGCGCGTACATTGGAAGCAATCTCATTGGGTAAACCGCTTTTTAGCATAACGTACTATTTGAATCATTGCCCATATCTGCTCATATTGCAGGATACGTGGCGCTTTGTTTTTTGAGAGGAGTAGGGCAAGCCTGAAAGCTCATCTTGGATTCGGAAATGTATTTCATAAGATTTCCTTATACATCCATATGCTCGAACCTCGGTCTTCCCCAATATTCTGCTACTTATTCGCATGTCCGCGGTATTGGCGGGCTGCAAGTGGATGGCGACCCTCGACACCGATGGCTTAGATTGCCTCGCAGTTAGTTGACTGAGGGATGTTCAATTGAAAACGTCTCAGGTAGCGTAGAAATCACAAATAATATTGTATGAATGTAGACCTACAATAAGTACACTACACATCCCAACCAGAAAGGGAGGCAGGGTGACAGCAGCCAGCTCTGATGAAGAAAACAATTTGGTAGATTGACATACGTATCTTTATTAGGACATGGTTCAGCGCAGCCCACCGCCCTTTCTTCGTTGCTTTTCCCATTTTTTATACCACTCCGGAATCGATTGAAAGAAGTGACGAGCATCCTCTTCATCGCTGCGGGGAAATAAAGCTCTATCCATGGATAGTTCCTTGAAGTTGGGATTCGTGCGATCGAGATGCACCCTGCGCGGCGAGTACTGTAAATATTATAAATGCCAGAAGAATAAGGCGGGGTGGAGCTTAGAGGCTCGCCTTATGCTTCAGAAAGTCCGTTTTCTCTACATGGAACTGTTCATTAATATATCTTTCTCCTATGGTGTACGGCCTGATGCATTCATCGTTCCAGTTTATTTTCTCCAATGGCTTATGCTTCCATGTGACAGCAGTTTGGAGTTGGAGTCTGTGTTGTGGTCCACTCAGTGCTCCTAATTTTTCTCGCCGCAAGTGTCGCCATCTGTGTATGGGGAGCGGTATACTACGCTGATGTACACCGGGAATCATCGTCCATATATTGTACATCCTCTTACACGATTGGCCGTATATAGATATAGAGGAGCCAGCAGCATCTATATCGGAAATCAAACACATCTGGATCTGCCGAGAAAGCTCTGGAATGGCATACTTTTAAGCTCAGGATGTCTTGTGAGGGATATCTCTCCATTATAACCTAGCAACGTTGACCAGAAATGTTTCATGATCATGGAGCTAGCGGGTTTGATGGTGTCCGTTCCCAGATGTTCCGCGTATATGTTACCCTATCGCGCTCAATACAACAGGTACAGTCGGTGCCTCCGCACGTACTTTAGATTGATCAGCGCTTACTATCACCGTGAGTTGCGGGCTTCCCTGTTCTGCAACTTTCGATTTCGCCTCAAATTTGATCAAGTATAGAGGGAACAGAATGGGGTATAAGGGAAGTAGGGACATCTGAGCAGCACGTTGTACTAAAAAATCGGGAAATTAGTGAAACAAGCGGCTCACGTTAAACTTAACATGGGGTTTTATGGAGGCCCCCTCTACGACTTTAGAGGCGGTTCTAAAATCCTCGAGAAAAGTAAAAGGTGACCGGGTGTATGGCAAGCAAATAACGGAGCGTCCGTCGTAATCAGACAGATTGCCCATCGCATCGTCCCATCGCTTTGGTATAGTGAAGATACCTGGCTGCAGCTGAACCAATTGAAGCATGCTGAGAGGGAACATATGATGTCCTAATGAAAGCCAGGTCAGTATAGTAACATGCAAGTAATTGAAGGTTAGTTAATTCACCAGGGTAATATCTGACGAGTAAAACGATAAGCGAAAATCATACGTAAGTGACTGCAATATTACTGCTCAAGACCTGTAGAAATGGCAAACCTATAGCAAACCAAGCAAGTGAGCCTTCACTTCGCCACCAAATACCCGACAACACCTACGTCTCCCTGCCTATAAAACTTGAATAAGTACTCGAGTCTGACAGCGTATTCACATGAAGTCGCCATGTAGGAAAGTAAATAGGCTGTATTTGAGTAACATTTACATTCGATTCGGAAACGTCCTTTGCCTTCTCAGCGAACTCAAGTTTGATAAGGTCTAGTAGTTTCTTGCCGAGTGCCCATGGCGATTTGGGTGCCGGGGTTGTCAACATAGTTGCAATCACTTCGCATCGTGCAACGGCTTTCCTTGGGCTGATGCGGAATGGGATTGCTGGGTATGAAAAATTTCTTGAAATTCTTGAAAATACTATGGGATAGGGACGCACCGGTCACTTTAGGATGATATTTAGGAATCATAGCCTTGGGCATGCGCCTTACTGTTTTAACGACACGTTAAGTTAGGAGGGAGTGACCTTAAAATCCCCACAGACGCTGGCTGATACGAAGAGTGACGATTTGATTATAAATACGTTCCCACGAATGTCAAGAATTCGGAAGTCAACGAGTTGGCTGGGAGAAACTCAGTGTTCAGAGAATAAGTTGTCGGGAAAAAAAAAAGTAATATGTGAGCTGAAGAATTATTATAGATGATTTCATATTTTTGAAACTTGATTGCTATTTCAAAAAATGATCACAGCAATAAAGTTATGAATGAAAGTGTTAACACCTGTGTCTAGATTCCACCTGGGATCTGACTTTTGCGGATTACATTCCTGTTGACTCCTGCCACTTCTCCAAGTCAATGTCTGCACTTACCCTGGAAGTTGCCATGTTAGTTGTGTGTGGTTTGACCCAGATGTACTGTTAGGAACCTCACCTTTAACTTGTTCTCACTCTGGCAACCTTCCAGCATCCCAACATCAGTACCCCCGATTGTGGTGTCACTGCCTGTGGCACCCTGCCACTTCATTTACTGTATATTACTATTTTCGTCATCCCCATCCTGACACATTCCCATCATCTCTTTTTTACATGTACACATCATTTGCCACCTCAAACCATTTAGTATTTTGACACCTAGCTATGCAAGGCATTGAAAGTGAACAGTATGCTGGTATGACGCCTTAATCTTGTCCTCAAAGGTTCTGCCAAAAGAAACAAAAAAGAAAACATATATATCAGTCCCACAACTAATTATGATAGCATGATGGGAGATTCAACAGTCACTTAGATGACTTCTTACTTCTTCTGTGATGAGCGAGTATTCACAAAGATCAACACAAATGAAACACAAATGAAACCCTCAACCCTTCCTACTGTAATTCAGGATTGCTGCGACCGGGCAATCCAGATACATATCAAATATATATAGTAAGTTGAATCCAATTAGAAGGTGTATTAGACTTATTTCCTGGTATGCATGTATTATTATGAATACAAATCCCTAACTTTTAAAATATGTCCATTTCAGAACATTTGGAGAATATCAGTTCGTTAAAAGTATGGTAATAGTTCGCTGCTCTGTAAAAAATTGAGCCGCCTTCTATGTAATTTAAGATTCAATACTTTGATTCATTTATTACCGATAGACTCTCGATGGATTTTCAGTCATCAGTATATAATAGAAATGACATTCATTAAGCATTCTGCATGATGAGTATTAGAAATTGTTAAGCTGCTTTGAGTCTTAGACTCGGATGTCTGTTCGGAATCCAGCCGAATGGTATGCAGCCAGCAGAATCTGGGCCTATGAGTTTGACAGGTGTCACATTCCTTTTGTGAGGATGTAGAACTGGAGGTGGGTTGTTTCCACGCTAATACTTTTTTAGCTTCCACGTTCAACGTTTCAACCCCTGCAACGTCTTCTTCAACGTGAGCTCACACCATGAGCGGATCCATACCATATCCCATCGTCCAGCCGCCTGAACAGCAAGATGTTGTCTATGCCACGTCTGAAGATCAGCATCCACGGTATCATGTTGCTCTGTCACATTCCTGTCTACGGTCAATTTTTAGCATTCGACTTGGATGCGTCTTCGTCGCTTCAAGCCATCCGACACAATTTCACGATCGCCGGGAGAAAACCGAATTGTTTGAGGATATTACACGAGTAAGCTAAATTACTACCGTTCAGACCGACTCATTTATATACGGAGTTTATGTTAGAGATCCCGCATTTAACTATGCGAATGTGCAGACGGGTCCAATACAGGGTTTCTCTCCGACCTGGTACGCCCAAGAGATGCCAATAAGTTCAGAAATGAGGTGCGTCGCATCGACACTAATATTTCCAAGTATGACTTATTTAATGTTGACAATAGTCTGACCAACCTTGTGCCCAGTGTAAACGAACCAAATACGGGTCCTACAGTGCGGCCTTCACATACAGGTTAGGACGGTTTGCTCTGTAGGAATGCAATCATAACGTGATATGCTACAGGTACTAGTACAGGTCACGACAACCAAGCATCCAATCCTTCCTCTGTGTTCGCGAATGCCGCCACCGATGGAAACGAACATCCGTACCATATGCAATACGCCATGACATTTAATGGTGTCCATGAGGAAGACAATTTTCACCAGGTGCAATCATGCAATCTGCCACTGTCTTCCCCTGGGAACAATATTCCGTCTACAATGAACCCCCACAATCATGGTTTTTGGATAGACAATTTGTAAGTTCTCAGCATTGGTGAGAAAACTTAAACTTGATTTTTCTCCAGAGCCATGGGTATGAACGTCAAAGTTGCGCAGAACTACATGATGTCAACTGACGCCACACCGTTTGACGACCGAGAACAGTCCCAAGCTCAGGGTCCGGGGGGCAGCCACCCAACTCATACTGAAAGCATCTCGTAGGTGCCAGTTTTCCTCAAACCATATGTATACCGAAGCGTTGCAGTGTATATGGATACGTAGCTGGAGAAGGCCACACTGGCCACTCCCATCCGACAATCACCGAGTTGCAGCACTCGGA